AAACAGAGTTTATTTTGTATTCTTGCATATGAACTAAAATATATTGTACTTTTAAATCTATGAAGTTGTTATCCATTGTTTTAAAAGCATTTCTTTATACTACATTCTTTACTACTACTTTATATTGAAATAAGTTGAGTATCCCTGAGTTGAGTTGAGATGAGGTAAGTGTTTCTTTCAGTTCCAATTCAAGCTTATGTCTTGTTTAGATTTCCCCTCACATGCTCATACATTCTATGTACTGACTCCATTTGGCCTGCATCTTTTATGATGCAGATAGATGTGACCAGGATCCACATCCAGCGCTTTGTTGAACCAGTTGAGTTCCAAAGTTGTTTGGTGAGCTTCCTTGTGGATCCCTTTATTATGTTTTGTCATTTCAGTTTGTTAGGATGATCGGGGTCTTGTTCCGACATCCCACATAGTATTAGAGACTTCATAGATAAATAGACAGTAGTTCATGAGTCTTGTTTATTTCAGTTGTTTTGTTCTAAGACTCTAGTTGCCTCATTGGCCAGTTGAATGTTTCCTTTAAAAACATTCTCAGTTTATTATTTGAATCTATCTTTTGAGATTATTCTATGTTAAGTAAGTCTTCCGCTAGTTGTTAAGCCAGGCCAAGGGTTCGCTTAGGGCCAACAATGATTCTCGAGTGCCAGTCGCGTCCAGGGTGTAGGCTCGGGGAGTTACAATCACCGGTGTATTAGTGCATAAAACTACGGTGTCAATGAACCACTCAAAAGCAGTAAAGTACACTAGAATTTTTTGTGTAGAGTAAAAAGAAGTTCAAAAAATTCCTTGTTGAAAAATGGCCGAAAACCCCTCTATTTATATATAGACAACAAATGGTAGTATGTACAAGTGCTTATTGTGCCTAATCTGAAAGGTCACAACCCTTTAGAAAAGTCATAACTTTTTAGAAAAGTCACAACTCCTCAAAAAGTCACAACCTTTCCCCAATCACACGCTTTCGAAAAAAATCACAACCTCTCCAAAAAGTTACACCCCTTCAAAAAAAGTCACAACCTTTCAAAAATGTTGCAACTCTTCAGAAAAGTCAAAATACTTCATTTTCCTTTCACACCTTCACTAGGTGACTAAGCTTTTATTTTTTCAGTTGCATAGCCTACTATCTTCTTATAACACTAGTTTAAAAAGTTTAAAACATGGTATATTATATTATGCATCCGGTATATACCACCATACAAAAGTTAAATTTTTCTTCTGCAGCAATATTTAAAACACGATATACAATATTATACACCTTGTATGATACAAAATTATAAGAGGTATTGAGACACCCATATATACTATAAAACTAACTTCATCTTCTTCCATGAATGCAAGTGCTAGATACATCCATAACACCTCAAAAACTACACCAAATCACCCTATAGAGTTCCTCTGTGCAAATCTGATTTTTAAACTTTAAAGCTTCAAGCCCATAAAGTTTCTGCTTTTTGTTCATATTATTGGCGTCAAATCAATGGATAACCACTTTTTTTAGCTTCAAACAACATTGTCCAACAAATTTGAACTCCTCAAATCAAAACAACTATGTATAATTCAGCTATGTCGTCCAGATCTGGCCGAACTTTTTTGAGTAAAATATAAATCTATAAATTAAAGAGAAGGGAATATGGAGATGAAAGATAAATTTGAAATTTAGAGATACTTAGTCAAATCGAAACACTAAAAATTATGGATTTATTTTGATGATGTACTTCAATATATACTTTCACGTAATTATTTCATCATAAAATATTTGCTTTGTGGTGTATAAGAATTTGTGCGTAAATCTTTTATTTATTTTTGTTTATTCTATCTAAATGGTTCTCGACATATCTAATATCCTTTGTTAAGTCTCTCCACATTGGCATTGGAGAGGAGGTATTTAAACGTATGTAAGTGAAGTTTTTTTTTTTTTTTGAATTGCCTAGCTTTAATATTTCTGACAATATTTTTATACTCTTCAAATTGAAATATTCTTTCAAACATAATGTTTAATAAATTGGGGAAGATTTTATATTCTTCAAACCAAATGCACATATGATACATCCAATGAGGTTTTTATATTCTTCAAACCAAAGGAGTAGAAACTCATAAGATTTATTTGTCTAAAACTCATAAACAAACAAATTTCATACGGAGTAGAAAACCACACACATTTTAGTCTCCAAACAAAATAAAAATTAATAATAATAATAATAAAACTAATTTCATTAAGATTGTTTTCAATCTACATTACTAAGATACTTAGAACAATAACTTTACATAACTTCGTAAGAAACAACAAAGTTTAAAGTATATTATCAAAACTAGAAAGTCAAATTCAATGAAGAAAATATAATCTACAACAAAACAAAAACAATATTGAAAAGAATAAAATCGAGCCCACTGAATGCACAGTGTGTCCTTAAGAAAATTATTCCCCTCAAGTACCCGAGGTTAATGGAATATTTCCTCCTAGGATAGGACACTTTTCTTCACCGGTGTATTAGTACATAAAACTACGGTGTCAACAAATCACTCAAAGGCGGTAAAGTACACTAGAATTTTTTGTGTAGAATAAAAAGACGTTCAGAAAATTCATTCTTGAAAAATGATCGGGAACCTCTCTATTTATATATAGACAACAAAGATTAGTATGCACAAGTGCTTATTGTTCCTAATCTGAAAGATCACAACCCTTTGAAAAATTCGTAACTTTTCAGAAAATTCACAACCCCTCAAAAAGTCACAACCTTTCCCAAAGTCACACCCTTTCGAAAAAATTCACAACCTCTTCAAAATGTCACACCCCTTCAAAAAAAGTCACAACCTTTAAAAAAAGTCGCAACTCTTCAGAAAAGTCAAAATCCTTCATTTTCCTTTCACACCTTCTCTAGGTGACTAAGCTTTTATTTTTTCAGTTGCATAGCCTACTATCTTCTTATAACACTAGTTTAAAAAGTTTAAAACATGGTATATAATATTATGCATCCGGTATATAACACCATACAAAAATTAATTTTTTCTTTTGCAGTACTGTTTAAAAATACGATATACAATATTATACACCCTATACGATACAAAATTATAAGAGGTATTGAGACACTCATATATACTATAAAAACTAACTTCATCTTCTTCCATGAATGCAAGCGCTAGATACATTCATAACACCTCAAAAACTACACTGAATCACCCTATAGAGTTCCTGTGTGCAAATTTGATTTTCAAACTTTAAAGCTTAGAGCTTCAACAATGACCATCTATATAGTTTCTGCTTTCTGTTCACATTATTGGCATCAAATCAATGGATAACCACTTTTTTTAAGCTTCAAACAACATTGTCCAACAAAATTTGAACTCCTCAAATCAAAACAATTATGTATAATTCAACTATGTTTTCCAGATCTGGCACCATTTTTTTGAGAAAAACATAAATCTATAAGTTAAAGAGGAGAATATGGAGATGAAAGATAAATTTGAAATTTAGAGATACTTAGTCAAATCGAAACACTAAAAATAATGGGTTTACTTTGATGATGTACTTCAATATATACTTTCACGTAATTATTTCATCCTAAAATATTTGCTTTATGGTGTTTAAGAATTTGTGCATAAATCTTTACTTTATTTTTATTTATTCTATCTAAATGGTTCTCGATAGATCTAATGTCATTTGTAATAACTTGTATTTTTTGTTTAAGCCTCTCTACATTGGCATTGGACGTCATTCTCATAAAATGTGTTTGATTGTTGAGAACCTGCAAAATTACAAAAGTCAAGATATTTAAGTAAATTACTAAAACTTCAATATTTTTTAAATCTATATGAACATAATTATATCATTACGACACAACAACTAATAAACAACTCATTTAAATTAGGATTCAATTAAGAAGAGACCAATTAACTAAAGTAAAATATTTTTCTTATTCAACTTATATTCGATGATCCTGTGGCAGATCTAAATAAATGGAATATTTGCAAAGTTTTTGGTACCTTATTGTTAACCAATTTAGAACTTCCAATTTCTTTTCTTGTCTTTAATGTTGTTGTTATATCTCGAAAAATCTTCTTCTCATTAGCTAAACAATTACTCCCATGTCTTGTCTTGCAATACAAAGTCTTAATCTGTAATTAACAAAACATTAATGATCAGTAACAACACAACAATCAATCCTAACCTTTTAAGAAATGAACAATAAGCAAATAATTAAACAATATGAACCAAAATAATTAATCATTATTGTTTTACAATTAAATTAATATAGTTGTTTTAGTAGTTAAATCAAACTATAACTTCCAATATTCACGTGGATAGAAAATAAGACTCCCAATTAAGTTATCGTCTGATTTGTAATCAATTGGGGTTGGTGGAATAATAAGAAATAATTTCGCGAATTTAGTTATGACCTTCTCCATTCTTGATAACAGCAAGAAATACAATGAAGAAGAAGCTCAAGTCTGCCTCTTTGAAATCAATTGGTTTATACAAAATGGGTTCAATAACTTTTCATTGAAATTGGATTCACTTTTGGTTACTCTTATGCTTATGGATAAGAAGACTATCAATTACAAATTGAAGAACATCATTGCAATGACCTCTAGGTCATTTATGGATTTATGCATCTTGTTCGTTGTTTATAGCACTTCCTATAGCAACCCCAAGTCATTTGTGACTTGTTGGGACTGACAGTTTGGTCACATAGTCGTTCGTTTGGGTTTTATGCGAGTTTTAGTGTTTTGGAGCTTTTGAACCTTCAACGGTCATTTTTTATCAGAAGTTCAAGAATATGACCTCAGATTCCAATTTTAATGATTCCTCAGCTCCACAAGGGTCATTTTAGGCTAGAAGCATGGTCGGGGCATGACTCCCGAGGCTTTCAGTTCGAGTTTGTGCGATTAGACATTTTCACTTTCAAGTTAAGGCCTAAGGTTGACTTTAGTCAGTATTTTGAGTAAACGAGCTCAGATGAGAATTTCATCGGTACGTTTAGCTCCGTAATGTTGAGCTTGGTCTAGAACAACCATTCGTTTGGATCTCGGGGATTTCGGGCTAATTTTGAGCTCTCTTGTGAATTTTGGCTTAAAATGGAGTTTGGGGTAGGACATAATTTTTACTGAGATGACCTTATATGGGAATTTTGACTACTCCATTGAGTCTGGAATATCAAATTTAGTAGGGTTGCATATCTCGTTTTGTATACACGGAGTTCAGAACGAATTCGGAATGCCAAGTCGGTGATTTCAAACTTGCCAAAACTAGCTGATATGCATCAGCTTGTGCAGGACTAAAATGGCCTTCACGTTCATGGGCCCTTGGCCACGTTCGTATAGGTCAGGCGACCTGAGGGCCGCGTTAGCGGGGCTTTGGCCAGGTTTGCGAGGTCCCTACTGCTATTGCGGGACCTTTGTTTCTTCTTGGCCGCATTCGCGAGGCCCTCACCACATTCGTGAGACTCGCATTCACAGTGAACTCTCTCCGTTTGTGATGAATAGAATCGTGTAGTCTTTATTTAAAAGACCATACGTGACGAAGCTTAGATAGTGAAATTCAAATTGTGATATATTGCTCGATTTAGCTCGAAATTGGGTGATTTAAAGTCCCACACATCCAAAATTGTTGAGGTTTTGTTATGGTGAGTTCACAAAGTGTTGGTGAACCTCCATTCGAGGTGAATTTCTATTACAAGCTCCTGGCCTTGCTTCCTTTTGTGTTAAATTATGGAATTCGTGCATGTTGTTGTTTGATGTTCCGAACCCCGAATTTTGTTCAATTTTGGAACACAAGTTCGGTGCATGGCTTAGTACCTATTGCCGAATTCAATTCCAAAAAATTTGATGCCTGTCTCACGATTCACATTTGACTCCAAAATTGGTCTGTTTCCATTTTAAATGTTTTGGGCGCCTAAATGACCGTAGTAACATTGTGATCCTATATTTGATAGATTAATAGCATTCAGAGGCTGTTCAGAAAGGGAATCTTCGGCCATGTAATAAGGAGCGCGCGCGGTCAGCCTACAGGTAGAATACGGCTTCCTTTCCATAAAGATTGAGTTGGATTGCATAAATACATGTTGATTAGAATGAATTGGGAGTGGGGATCGTGTTATTCTTATTTCCCGTTTTAGATACCATATTTTAGGAGTGATCGACATTGTTTTGGGTTTAGTACCATACTAGTTGGGGTTTATATGTGTTGTTGCATGTTGTTGTGTATTAAGTATGTTGTTACTTGTTGTATTGAGCATGATATGACCTTAGTCTAGGATAGACTAGTGTTTCCTTAGACTCGCGAACTTCATAGCCTTGTTTCATCTCTGACGTTATTTTGGATGGACAAGATCTTTGTAGATTGGAATAGCAGACTTGAGTTTAATAGTATGAGCCTTAGTTTAGACGATTTCGCAGCTTTGTAGACATTCTATCTTCTCTCCCTATTTCGGCGGCTCTGATGCGTTACTGCGGGTTTTTTCTTTTGTGGCAACTTGGGATTGAATTGTTCTAGGCTTGAAGCCTTCTGTGAATTCTTGTGGGTGGACGTCGTTCCATGGTATCTCAGTTCTGGTATTAAGATCCTCTTTAGAGTCGACACTCCCTTGACACTCTTGCTAGTTGGGTTGGGAGTTGACTGGATACTGTGGTTATTTTCTGTTTGAGGCTGATGTTTACGGTTCGAGGGAATTATTTCCAATATGAGGCTAAAATTTATGGCTCAAGGCCGTTATTTCCAGTTTGAGGTTGATGATTTACTGTTCCAGGTTGTTACATCTAGTTAGAGGCTATCATTTGACTTGGGGTTAAAGTCTCGGAGTACATTAGATCTAGATTTGAGAAACTTCACTCTTGTAGTCTTAGTTATTATGTGTACATGTTTGCCATATGGGGTCCGTTTGAGTTTAATTTAAACTTGCGCACGAGTTTACAATTTGGGCTTATGGGAGTCCGTTAGGTTTAGTTAAGTTGTACTTAGATTTCCTTTCGGTATGCTAGTATGGTTTCTTTTATATCTACTTGGACCTCTGTTTGTGTCTAGATTCTATCTCTTCATATTGTTTTTACGTTTTTCGCTCAGTCGGCCTCTGTTTCCTACTGAGTACCTTTGTTTTGGTACTCACGCTCCACTCTGCATCTTTTTCGTGATGCAGGTCCTAGTACCAGCTATCAGCGGTGATCGTTCATGACATCTTTTGCAGCTTTTGGCATGGGTATCAGAGACGAGGGTGATCACTTGACGTCCTGGATCTGTCTCTCTCCCTTTGTATATATGTTTAGCTAGTCTTTTATCTTTGAGACGAATTGTTGTGATCCACTTTTGGGACTTCTACTTTTATATTAGACAGCTCTGTACTCGTGACTACTAGGTTCTGGGAGGGATTCTATTATATATAGATTTTTGGTTTGCTTCTGTTTCCGTCTTATTATATTGTTTAGTGTTAGATCTATTTAGTAGTACCCTTATATCCTTTACTTGTCGTTCTGGGTATGGGTCGACTTACCTACTGGTGGGTTATAGTAGGTGTCATCATGACTCGAGGAATCAGGTCATGACAATCATTAAGGATATTTCTCAAAAGATGAACTAGGTCAATGTTAATGGAACACATTGCTAGTGAGAGGTAAATCAAACGTCAGATTTTTTGGCCAAGTAAGCAACAATTAGTACATAATGAAGTACTGATTTATCTCTCATTCAACGAACTTTCTAAAGGTGCAAAAGGACCTTTCCACTTGGATAAATGTCAGTTGTCTGATATCAGAACCAATCTTAATAAGTTAAAATATTTCGTGAGTTGAGCATTTCATACTTTGTTTTGCCACAACAAATATTTTGTTAGAATTCTCCTGTTTTTTGTGTAAGGATTAATTCTATCATTTTGTTATGAAGAAAAGAGTCACTTCGATGAAGTAAAATATAATAAGTAATTTGATTCGTAATTAGAACTATTCAAAATTTGGGTGGAAATATTAAATTGCCTATTGTGTTTCTTCATTTATCTAGAAAATTAGGGGGTTTTATTCATCCAATGAAGTAGGTTCTGGAGTAAATCTAAGAATTTAGAAGTTATATAATAACTTTGAATTTATTATAAATGTTAAAGTTGTTGCAATAATTGCAATAACTACTGAAGTTGTTGCAACCGTTGTAAAAACTACTAATTGTTGTTGCAAGATTTCAAAGAGGAGTTTCTATAGTTACATAGAAGGTGGATGTGGAGGAGGATGAAATGGAGAAAAGGGCGAGGGAGGAGAGAGAAATTACGGGAAGGTATGCGCTTCGCATGAATAAAATAAGTTAGTAATTTCTAAAATATGTATCATAATAGAGTTACGTAGTTAGAACTTAAACATGAGTCCTTTTTATTAATAAAAGATTCAAAGGTCCCTTTTTTTTTTTAAATGACAGGTTAGTATTGTTTCTACTTTTCATCGTCTTTAAATACCCTCATCAACATACGAACAACATATTAATATGAGGGCTTTATTGTCTTTCTCTAAACAATCTAAACCAATCCTCATCATCCTCTTTATATTTCATCTCTCCCATGCAAACGATTAAATCATAACAACAAATTTTAAACATAATTGTAAAGATAAATCATTGGTGCTCTCTTTCTAAAGGCATTATCCATCCGAGTATGTTCTCTTCATCCTTGCTTGTTATGATATCAAGTTATCAAATTTAAAGAAACTACAAGTTAAAATTTTGAAGATCAAATTGGATGAGAATAAATCTATACAAAAGGAGTGTCCTCCTTTCATATTCATTTTTGGAAAAACTACATAATTAGACATAGTTCACTATCATATATACTATTATTATCTATACTTTCAAAATATTATATATTTTACCACTAATTAAGGGTTTCTTACCATATATTAAGGAAGATACACTTAAATACATATATTCTGCTACCAGATATACTAAAATAGGGAGAAAGGCAAGTGAGATGGGGAGGGAGCCGAGCGATATTCATTATGTATTCCAGATACATGCAAATTACAATAGATACACACTAGATACATGTATATGTATATATCTGGCGTGATTCACATGTATCTGGAATACCATATACATAGGAGAGTGGCGAGCTAGATGAGAAAGAGGGGAGGGAGGCAAGTGAGATTTGTCATGTATCCTAGATACATGCGAATTCATTTGGATACAATATACCTAGAATAAATTAAACCTAATTTTGACCCTATTTATTCCGAGATGTGTTTCAGGACGCACCAAAATCTAATAATATACATATATTGCAAATTAAAGTATATTTAAGTAATTAGCTCCTAAACTAGTGGAATTTATGTAAGTTTCCCTCTTTTCCCTTCTCATCCGAAGAGAAGAGAGAGTGACAAAGGCGTCATCTTCATACTCATGCATGATTTTAGTATAATTGCTATTTCTTTGTTATCATCATCTTATTATTATTCTTCGTCATTTTTTGGCAGTTCTTTTTCTCCCTCTTCCTTTCTTTTCTTCTTTTTCCTCCTCTTCTTCTTTTCATTTCCTTCTTATCTCTTCCCTCTTTTACTATCTAGTATTTTAAAAAATAAAAAATGGTGAAATTTAATGAAGTAAAGATTGTGCAAACATTCCGAGAGATTTTTTGACATTTCTCTTGACTAACATAGAGATGTTTGAAATATCTCTAGGAAAGGCGGAAGGGGAGGTGGCGGAAGAAGGTAGCGACGCTTTATGTAACTAGCTAGGAAATTTTTTGGCTTCTAAAATGTGTCATTAACTTTTAATACAAAATGATTCTCTACTTAGACACAAGTATAAGAGAAAATTATCGTCTAATACCTTTGGATCATCTGCTTTACAAAATATGTACACAATGTATAGGTAGTGTATATTTTATATTAATATAGATATATTAAATAAATATACATATGTATATCTACATACCTAGACATATAATATGCATACATATTATATACGCAACATATACATATAATATACAACAGAGTGTATATACTCTGGACATATTTAGTTAACTAAATGGCTTAATGATATACTATATTGGTAGTCCCTACTTTTAACGCATGTCCTTTTTTCTAAACAAAAGAAAAATTTAACACTCAACGGTCTCTCTTAGACTAAAGCTCCTTGTAACTCATCAAGGAAATAATTCAAACTCCCTTTGGCAATTTCTTGTGCACATTTTCATAGAGGCTTATTTAGCATAACAAAATTGTGAGAAAATTGTGTAAGATGAAGAATCCGTTAGAAAGTATCATACGGTTCACTTAGACAAAAGTTAGAAAAAAAAATTAATGGAAAAATGTGTTTGAAGCAAAAGAAAGAGTATAACTTACGGATGGAGGTTCATTTGGTTTTACTTCAATTGTACTATAGAAATCCAAGAAAGTTTGTTCTGTATATTCAAATCTCCTTCTTCTCGACTCGTATGAATATGCGAAGGGTAGTAGACTTCTTATTCTTTCAGCTAATTTGTCTCTGTCCGCCTGCATATAACAGGGAAGAGGGAACAAATCAAAGTTTAAAAAAAACAACGGAAAAGGGTCTAAAACGTCCCTCAAGTATTTGAATTGATACAAAATTACTCTCCATCCACCTTTCAGCCTTGAAATACCCCGGCATCCACTTAAAATGAATTCGACGGATTGTATTTGATTTTGACACCTCTAATTTATGGTAAACTTTCTATTTTTGGGCAACAGTAACTATGTGCGAAATAACAAAGATATGAAAAGCATATAGTTACCTTTCTTTCTTGTAACTTGTCAAAAATCTTAGCTCGAGCTTGATTTTGCTCGTGTATCAAATTTATTGCTCTTTCAATTTCACGGCTTTTACTTGATGCCATCTCAAACCTGAAACCACCACATCAACTTTCTAATTCTTGATAACCATGAGTTGTTCTTTCTACAACATATATATTATATATACTATTCCACACCTATATTATTCTTGGGCCTCACGCCAAAAAGTCAACTTTATTTATATTTTTCTAATTTCCTTGGGATGGACACTTTTAGTCTTACGGCTCCTTTGACAAAGTTATCCCAAATTATAGTTTTATTTTGGGATTAATTTACTTACCTCAAAGGTGGAATAAAATAACACCAACACCTTAAATCAGTTATATCTTCAATCAAATAAAGTATAAATTTAATTTCAAATTTATTTCTAGGATATTCCACTATATTTTATAAACCAAACAACTTTATTTTTTTCTAAATTCATCTTATCTCTACTAAATGTGGATTCAAAATGAAGGTCCTTACGAAGGAAAAAAACTTATATAGTACTAATTTAACTGTGGCTATAAGAATATTTATCTTTTACTCTTGGGTCTCATTATTTTGCACTTAATGAAGGGCTTAGAGTGTGTTTGATATGAAGGAATGTTTCCAACTTTTTCATGTTTGGTGGCTTAAATATTTTGAAAAATACTGTTTTCTAAATCAACTTATTTTCCTCAAATATAAGGAAATTGACTTACTCCAGAAAGTAAGGAAAATATTTTTCAAAAATTCTTTTTCAATCTCACACCTCAACTTTTCACCCTAACTCAAGTCCCGAGTACCGATTTTTGATACTAATTCGAGATCCGACTCTATATTCTCGATTCCCGACCTCGATTTGAGACCCAACTCCCAAGTCCCTATTCGACTGGGGTCAGATCTCAATTTGTGGTCGAGTTTTGGATCAGGATTCAAGGTCAGATCTTGGATCAGATGTCGGAATCAGTCCCGAGTCTACTTAGTCTTAGGGCTGCTTTGACAAAGTTAACCCAAATTATAGTTTTATTTTCGGATTAATTAACTTACCTCAAAGGTGGAATAAAATAACACCAACTCCTAAAATCAGTTATATCTTCAATCAAACAAAGTATAAATTTAATTTCAAATTTACTTCTAGGATATTCCATTATATCTTATAAACCAAACAGCCATATTTTTTTCAAAATTCATCTTATCTCTACTAAATGTAGATTCAAAATAAAGGGAAGAATTCCTTACGAGGGAAAAAAACCTATATAACCATTCTTCGTTGTGAGTAAGATTTTATCGAGGAATTTAAATTTTTTTAGGTGTCAAGGTCGCTAGATGTAGCACCTTGAGTTTCAAAAAGAACTAAAGAGAAATTTATCCAAGTCATCCCTAAGTTCTTTTATGTTTTGGGTCAACTTCAAACGACCATAACTTTTAACACATAATGAGTTAGGTGGCCCACGAGGTATCAAATCGAAGATCTTTGTGTCATCTTTCCAACGCCGCTGAGTTTGTAAAAATCTGAGTTTGGATAAGGGAGATATAACCGTTTGAGTGCAGCCTCTCTAGATAGTGCCTTTTCACCCAAACTAAGGAAGGGTATTTTAGTCTTTTCCTTATCCCCACTTAGTCTAAGCGTGAATTACACCCAAATTAGGGTCTAAACTGATTAGAATCAGTTTCATTCATCCCCTATGTTTAAGGCTTTAGAGAGAAGATTCAAGAAGAGAAAAGTTCAAGGTTTCAAGCGTTCATCCAAGATTTCGCCAAGAACCTAGTTCTTTGAGGTATGTAAGCTTTCATAGTGATGGGTTTGTTCACTCTCACGCCAATCATGAGTTTCCTTACTAAATTTATCCATGAGATTTCGTGTATTAAGGTTCTTGATGAGTTTCTTGAGGTTTTAACTTCATTCCTTGTTAATGGAGTCTTGTTGAGTTCTTGAGGTGAGGATCTCACGAATGAGTGTAATTCTTGAGGGATTTCGAGTAGATTTTCATGTACTTGGTTTAGGTTAATGAATCTAAGAAATTTGGGAAGAATCTATTCCATTTTAGGTGAATTAGGACCCAAAATCGAGAAGAAAAATTCGTCGAAATATTCTGGGGAGGGGGTGGCGCGGTGCGCCCCAGATGCACCAAGGGGGCTGGCATGGGGCGCTTGCAGTGTGCCAGGGAAGGGGTTCTGAAGTTTAGGGGTTGGCGCTCTGCGCCTCTCAATGCTCCAGGGTCGCCTGGTCCCCTAATACTCTTCCGGTCTTCTTTCCGTTTGAGTTCTATTAAACCGTGTCATCGATCACTATATGTTTTATGAAGAATATTAGATATCACATTCCGAGTCATTACAATATCGCACCTAGGTAACTAAGCTTTTATGTTTTTAGTCGCATAACCTACTATTTTCTCACAGCAATGGCTAAAAGGTATGATATATAGTATTATATATATACATCTGGTATATAAGACTATAATATAACTTCATTTTCTTATTTTACAACAATGTTTTAGAACTCAATATACAATATTATACACCCTGTGTATAAACATGATACAAAATTATTAGTAGTATTTAGAAACTAATATATACTATTATACAAAAACTGATTTCATCTTCCTCCTTTAATGAAAGTGTCAGATCCATCCATGACACCTCAAAAACTACATCAAATCATCATATAGAGTTTCTTTGCGAAAATATTTATACTTTTGCGTAATTATTTAATCATAAAATATATGTTTTATGGTGTTTATGAATGTGTGCATAAATTTTTTCTTTCTTTTTGTTTATTTTATCTAAACGGTTCTCGATAGAACTAATGTCTTTTGTAATAACTTGTATTTTTTTTTTAAGTTTCACCACATTGACATTGGATGTCATTCCCATAAAATGTGTTTGATTGTAGAGAACCTGCAAAATAACAAAAGTCAAGATATATTCTTGTACATTAGCTAAATTATTAGTAACACTTCTCTCTCGTTATTTTTGTTTGTTGTTAACTTACATTACTTCAATACTGTTTTTCATCTATATCAACGACATTATATCAAATAATGCACAACAACTAATAAATCACTCATTCAAATTAGGGTTCAAAATAGAAAGATATCAATTAACTAGAGTGAATTATTTTTTTTATTCAACTTATATTTGTGGAACCTGTAGCAGATCTAACTAAAGGGAATATTTGCAAAGTTTTTGGTACCTTGTTAACCAATTTGGCATCTTTAGCACTTCCAATGTCTTTTCTTGTTTTTAGTGTTGTTATTATCTCATGAAAAATCTTCTTCTCATTAGCTAAACAGGTACAATTCCGTGTCTTGTCTTGCAATACAAAATCTTAATCTGTAATTAACAAAATTAATGATCAGTAAAAACATAACAATTAATATTCTAATGGAAGTGATATATCCTTTGTGTTTGTGAACTTACCAACAACGATTGATGGATTTGGCTCCTCTCTGGTGAGTTCTTAAATAATTAAAATGGCAATTGTGTATTTTATTAGTTAATCAGTCACATAAGTACTTAGACCCTCTTCTCCTCTCCCTTCCAAACTAATCCAATCAATGATAACTGTTAATACAAAATGAGTCTCTACTCGTACATATAATTAATTATTATAAGAGAAAATCATAGTCTAATTCCTTTGGATCATCTACTTTAAAAAATGTACACAATATATAGGTAGTGCATACTTTATATTAATATATACATATACTATATACAAATATACATAATATATATATATATATATATATATATTCATGTGTATCTACGTACCCTATACACATAACATACAAATGTATTCACAACATATACTTACGGATGGAGGTTCATTCTGTTTTGCTTCACTTCTGGACTCATATGAATATGCCAAGGGTAGTGAACTTGTTATTTTTTTTAGCTAATTTGTCTCTGTCCAGCTGCATATAACAGGGAAGAGGGGCCACACCAAAGTGAAAAAAAAAAAAAAAAACTTGTAATTAAAAAACAATAATACAGTTTTAATACATATTACAATGAACAATTTATAAAATATATATAATATAAATTTTATTCATGAATAATATATTTATCACACACATTAATACACTTATAATACGTTGTGTCAATTTCTTAAAAAATAATAAATATCATAAAATTCCAAAACAATATCTTTATTAATATTAGTCTTGGCATATAAATAGAGTATATTATAAAAAAGGGAAAAGGGTCAAAAATACCCCTCAACTTTGTTTTATTAGTTGACTATGCCTTTACCGTTAAAGTGAAGTTAATTTTACCCCTACCATTACTACTTTCACCATATATACCCCTCATTTGACGGAAAGCCCCAAGTCAACTTAAATTAACCCGAATCTTAAAAAATGATCCGTTACCCATTTTTAAACCCATGCCCGACCCGTCTGACACTTAACCCAAGAGGTAACGTCTGAAGAGAAAGCAATCTAAAAAATCAACAAGAAGCAAATACTCATTTGCCTGTAATTATTGAAAATGATGAACAAAGGGAAAATAGCGAAGATAAATAATTCCTCATTTGCCTGTAATTATTGAAAAGGATGAACAAAGGGAAAATAGGGGGGAAGAAGCAATAACTTCAGCCTTTGTTTTTCCATTTTTCCGACCAGCCTCTCATCTCCACGTTGATGTCCAGCCACCAAACAACCACCCCTAAACAACCCCATTTTTTCTGTTTCCACAGCCACCATCACCCACTTTCCGGCTGGCGACCAAACCCATCTGAAACCAGCCCACTTCGACGGAAAAAAATTCGTAAACCACCTCACAACCAGACGCCAACTCCGGCGAACCAGACCACCCTTTACTGTCTCTTTTCTCTAGCCAAAATGTCACCAAAAAACACCCAAATCGACCCCACTGGTTGACTTCCCTCAAACCATCTTCCTTCTCCAACCAGAAACTCATTCAGCTCCAAACACACAAAAAAAACTCGAGATCTGTCCATAATATTTTTCGAGGAGCAATTGTTTTGATTTCATCCAAAAGTTGTAATCTTTTTCATATATAAGCATTATTAGATTGAAGAGAAAATTGAAAGGGGGAAAAATGGGTGGATCTTTGATAAGTTCGGGCATTTTGGTAATGGTGGGTTCTTTT